CTTCCTCCACCTTCTTGCAGCCTTCCTCTAGTGCTCCACAACGGTGAAAACTAAAAGTGAGCAGCTGGCAAGGTAGAAGAGTGATTTGCAAAATGGTTAAAATCCAGAATACACAAATAAACAAGAGAAAGACATCCAATAGGAACATGAACAAAAGACCTGAACACAAAAGAAGTCCAATCTACCAATAAACCTATAAAAAGAATTACTTACTAGTAGTCAGAGAAAAATAAATTAAAACCACAATAAAATATATAACATTGTCAACACTGAAAAACTCTGACAATATCAAATGTTGGCAAGGATACAGAGCAAGGAAATTCTCATATGCTGCTGGTAGGGGTGTAAATCAGTAGTTTGGCATCATCTAGTAAAATTAAAGATACACTACCCTATAATCCAGCAATTCTACTCCTAAATTAAGTCTTAGCGAAAATCATGCATATATGCATCAGTATTGTGTATAAAAGCCAAAAACTGGAAAGAACTGATATACCCATTATTTACTATTAACAGTACAATGGTAAATAATTGGTGCTCTAACCATATAATGGAATTCTATGCAGCAATGAAAATGAAGTAACTATAGCTCTAGATAACAAAGATGAACCTCAAACATAAAGAGGCAAGACATTCAATGTGATTCCATTCATATAGCGTTCAAGTGCATTCAAAACTAAATTATAGTATTTAGGGATACACACCTAGATGGTAAGGTATAAAGAAAAGCAAAGAGCCCTGGCCAGTTTAGCTCAGCAGTTAAGAGCATCGACCCGTAGACCAAAGAGTCTCAGGTTCAATTCCAGTCAAGGGCACGTACCTTGGTTGTAGTTCAATCCCCCAGGGTCATGCGGGAGGCAGCCAATCAATGTGTCTCTCTCACACTGATGTCTCTCTCTCTCTCCTTCTCTCTCTCTATCTCCCTCCCTCCTTCCACTCTATCTAAAAATTAATGGAAAAATATCTGTGGGTGAGGATTAAATAAAAAATAAATAAAATGAAGAAGAGCCCTGGCCGGTTTTGCTCAGTGGTTAGAGCGGCGGCCTGTGGTCCAGAGAGACCTGGGTTCGTTTCCCACCAAGGGCACGTACCTCGGTTGCAGTTTGTCCCCAGCCCTGGTTGGGTCATGTGGGTGGCAACCACTTGACGTGTCCCTTTCATGTCAATGTTTCTCTCTCTCTTCCTTCCTCTCTTTCCCTCCCATTCTATCTGAACAAAAAACCAAAAAAACAAATATCCTCAGGTAGGATAAAAAAAAAAAGAGAGAGAGAGAAAAGAAGAAAAGCAAAGAAATGAATAACTTAGATAGGGTAGTGGTTGCCTTTAGGGGAAGAGAAGGGTCAATTCAAAAGGGAGGTGGAAGGGATTCTGAGATGCTGACAGAATTCCTTGATTCTGATGATTAATATTAGCTCAGTTTATTATTATTTGCTAAATGTACATGTATGTTTTTAAACTTTTCAATACAAGGTTATATATTTCAGGTGTTTTTTTTTTTCAGGTTTTTCTCTTTCTCTCTCTCCCTCCTTTCTTCCATTCCACTCTTTCTAAAAATCAATGGAGAAATATCCTAGAGTGAGGATTAACAAAAAAAATAGTAATTTTTTAAAAAGAAAATTAAAAAATAAATAAGTCTAAAAAAAAAAAAAAGGTGCATACCCATCAGTGCCATAAAAAGAATCACTTTCATCCAGCACACAAAAGGTCTGCTTCAATTCAATACATAATTTTATGTCACTCCCTTTTTCCCCCATTAAAAACAACAGAAAACCACCCTGACTGATTTGGCTCAGCGGTTGGAGTATCAGCCTGCAGACCAGAGAGGCCCAGGTTCGGTTCCCGTTAGGGGCACGTACCAAAAAATTAAAAATAAAAATAAAATAAAATCTAAAAAACAACAGAAAACCAAGTATAAAAAAGAAAATTGTAAGGAATAGTATATATTTTCATTTATATGTCAAATAATACTAAATTAAAAAGAGAAAATTAGCCCTGGTGGTTTGGATCAGCAGTTAGAGTGTCAGCCCACAGACCAAAGGGTCACGGGTTCAACTCCAGGCCAAGGGCAAATACCTGGGTTGCAGGTTCAATCCCCAGCCCCAGTAAGGGTCATGCGGGAGGCAACCAATGTGTCTCTCTCACATAGATGTAGATGTTTTTCTCTTTCTCTCTCTCCCTCCTTTCTTCCATTCCACTCTTTCTAAAAATCAATGGAGAAATATCCTAGAGTGAGGATTAACAAAAAAATATATAATTTTTTAAAAAGAAAATTAAAAAATAAATAAGTCAGAGATTTAAAAAGAGAAAACAGGTTAAAAATAGGAGAAGACAGATTTGTGTAGTGCTAAACTGAGTGGAAAGAATACAACTACATGATGGGAAAAAGTTTCAAAGAAACTAAGTAAACAAGATGATTGCCTGTTTATAATTTAATCTTTGTAACAGTTGCTAATTTCCACAAGTAAATGATAGAATCAATTTCAGAAATAGTTTTCTACTTCATATAATATTAAGGTTTAATAGCTTTTTCCCACACACATGGGGTATCTTGGAAAACAGAAACTTGCAGGAAAAAGGGAAAACAGGTCAGATAAGTTTAAATTTTCTTTTAAAGAAATCTCAGAGCCTTGGAAACATAGAACAGTGAAATAAAAATATGCAAAGAATTCGTGCTCTTCAAATATCGCACTAAAATAGTCATCAAGTGCACAAAAATTATCCTTGACAAAATTTTGTAGTGTTCAACTACATGGAGTAAGTCTTTCATTTTTCAGAAATTTTTCAATTAATGTCTCACTATAGAAAGATATATTACACTTTGCAGAAAGAGTCATTAAATAATTAAATCACATAGCATTGGCATGTCCACACAATCATCCTATGCCATGGGAAAATAAGAATATGGTTCACTATTTTCATAGGTCCTTTTTCCTGTCCCATCTTATATTTTACTTGAGTTCTAAATATAGTAACAGTAATTTCTACCATTTACTGAGCCCTTTTCATGTGCCTTATATTTACCATATCCTTTCACATTTTCACACACTGAGGAGCAGGTCTTACTGATGAGGAAAGTAAGACATGGAACAATTAAGTAATTTGTCCAAGCTCACAGGCTGCTGTTGAGGGAGCCAAGATACAGTACAATTCCAGAGCCAGTGTCTTAACACTACAGTGTTCTATTCAATAAAACATTTATACCACGAAAACTGCCCATAATCACCTACCGCCTTCTAACCACCAGATTTCAAATGCCTTGAGGATTTATTTTTGCCTCTCTTAGATAACAGCATATTCACAGAACATTAAGGAATAAAGAAATCTAAGCAAACATTTGGGGAAATCTATTATTCTTCAGCTAAGAAAATGGAGGTCCAGAGAAGTTAAGCGTTCTGTCCAAAACCACAGAGCTGGTTTGTGTCAGCCAGCACTAAAGCACAAATCCCAGGAGTGATCTTCCCACTGCACTAAAAGCCCTTCCTTCCTACCATACCTCTATACTGGAAACTCTCACTGAAATCCACTCTACCCTCCACACAAGTACTGAAGTTTACTTTGTCAACTTTCACAGCATACAATAACTTCAATTGCACTTACATGTAGGTAACATACATTCTTTCATTTCAACAAATATACAGAGATACAGTATGTGCTAAGGCAACTGATGAACGCAAATGTATATCATAATTCTGGCCCCTGGTTTTATCATAAAAATATAAATATATTAACTATAATATGTAACAGTGCCATAGTAGCCATGTGAACAATGTGTTCTGAAAGCACACAAAGAGTGGATATTTCAGCCTGAGTAAATAAGAAAGACAAAAGGCTGTGAGATGCATCTGAGGCAAGGCAAAGGCAGAAGTGTCCTGGTGCTTAGAAAGGAGGGAAAAAAGGCTACTATTTTTACAAGTGGACAATAAAAAACAACAGTAAATGTGGGGTCAGAAAATCTGAGTTCAAATCTAGACTATGACATGTGCGACTTCTAAGTCTGTGTCCTCATCTGTGAAATGTAGATGCTAATGACCTGTCTACCTCACAGGACTCTGATGAGGCCAAATTATGTGAAAGTGCTCTAAAAACTGGGAAGTCCTGTATAAACATTAGTTATTTATGTTTTCACTTCTAGGCAACCCTGTGGATCTTTCCCCCTAACCTGTGTCTCATAAAAACCTCACCCTTCAGGATGAAAATATTCCAATGACATCATTCATATAACCTTATGGGGTAGCAAATAGTTAACACTAATGCCTTCAGGTTGAAACATCCAAGATTCTTTCCACTGAAATAAATATACATATACAATATGTGTGTGTTTTTTTTAATTTATTAAGCAATGGTATTGACTTCCAGTCAATGCTTACTCTGAAACTAGTACCAGATGCAGGTTTTCGTCTGGAAATTTTCTATCAAAAATTCCACTCCATTTTGTAATATGTTTTCAAGCAACCAACTCAAGAATAGTCTGCATGTAGCAATCACTGTGCTCTCATCCCAAGAAATTGATTATGTATTAGCTATAGACACAACCAAGTATATATCCTGGACTTTAAAAAAGAAACTGTTTTAGTGCAATCATACATATGATGGGAAACAGCTAGTAGACGAATATAAATCCACTGAAAAGGATAATGAGTTCCTATAATATGTATAACGATTTTATAATACTTGAAGGCTACAACCTGACCCCTGCTTTAAAGAATGCTCTTATCTCCTTTAAAGTTTGCCAGAGTAGCCTATATAACCTTGCTTCCCTTTAGCGATCACTCTTTAAACTACATCCAGGCCCCATTTTGTTCAACCTTAAACCCTAATGTCTTAGCTGCTCCTTGGATGATAGCCTAAATAAAGTTCCGAAGTCAAACGATGTACGTTTCGGAAGTCAAAAGACAGGCAAGACACAGGAAAGGAACAAGGGGAGCGAAAGACCTTCCTGCCACCCCAGGACAGTGGCCGTTTTATCTTACAAGTGCAACTTCCCGTTTTCTCCCTCTTACCTTGTACACTTTCCCAAAGGCTCCGTCACCCAATTCTCCTATAATTTCCCAAAACTCCTCCGGGTTCAGGTCCCTCTTCACATGTTCGTACTGCTTCTTCTTCTTCTCGCTCCCCAATTTGAAGATCTTACGGAAATTGAAGAAGGACATTTTCCCTCCCAACAGGGTTCCTGGCACTTAAGGACTAAAACAACAATAAAAGGCAAAGTTTCTCCTCCCTACTCTCCCGCGCGAGCCCGGCGGGCGGCGGCGGGCGCGGGCTCTCCTGGCTCCCGCCGCTCCGGCCGGGCGTCCCCGGGGAAGGCGGGGCGCAACTCGGGCTCCGACCCACCGGGTGGGCGGGGGGGGCCGCGCGGGCGGTCCCTCCGCTGAGTCCAGCCCGCGGGCCGCGCGGTGGGCACCTTGCCCCGAGTCGGCCCTGGGGTGCGGCACCTGCCCGGACTCTCGTCCCGACCCGGCCCAGCCCGGCCCGACGGATCCCAGCGGTCCGGACGCCCGCGGTCGCCGCGGCTTAGGCCCGTGTCACGGCGAGTCTCCAGGGGCGGCGGCCACTCCAGGCAAGGGACGCGGCCGGCGACCTCTAAGGCGGGCAGTCGACAGGCCAAGCTTTCCCGCCTCGGGACGCGAGCCCGGGGTTTCCTCCGCAGCTGTCCGCTCCTGCGGCGCGAGGCCCGTGCGTCCCCTCGGCTCTGGGGCGCCGCCGCCGCCGCCGCCGCCTCCAAGCTCCCTCCCCAGCCGCACAGCCTCGTTCTGGAGCGCGCGCCGACGCCGACGCCAATGTCGCAGCGCGCCCGCGCGCTCCCCCGGTCGCGCGCCCCGCTCACCGCGCACTCGCGCGGGGGCGTGCCCTCTGGCCTCGCGCACGCGCGTTGAGCTCAACTTGCTGGCGGCCTCGAGGGTCTCACAGGCGTTCGGGGAAGTGTGCCACGTGGATGCTTGCGTTCGCCCTTGACTACGAATTGCTCCCCGTTTACCCTCTAAACCCCCAAATCTTAGCCCTCGGCTTTGGTGGAGTTGCCCCCGCGGACACAACCCTGTTGGTTTTGCTAGCGGATGTTGCTTGCCTCCATTCTGGATCTGGGAAAATTTGTAGAGACTGAAAGCTGAGCTGTCCCGTTGAGGGCCCCAAAGTGGACTTTTTCGTCTCAAATGTGCCCTGGAGTACAGTGAGAGGGGAGTATATGTGGTGCCTGGGAGCTTCGGAGCCAGAGGTTACCAGCTCTGTGACCTTGGGCGGTAGGCTTTCCCAGACTGTTTCTTCGTTATGGAGACAATGGATGTAAGCCCTTTTGCAGTGTCTGCACGGGCAAACGCCCAATTTTAGTTCTTGCTGTAGTTACAAGTGTGCAGGTAAGATAGCCATGGATATATAAAAGTCGTTTTAGCCCACTTCTCGAATGATGACCACGGTTCTCCTTGAGAGCAATCAACCTTCTGTCCACTTCAACAGCCATATTCCCAAGCCTCCCTTAGTGACTCCATCTGGACCACTTACTAAGGCCTTGGCTTCCTGATCTGCCCCTGGCCTCTTGGACAGCACTAGTGGAAGACTGCCTGGGCCATGTGGGCGTTGGCTGGAATCCACCAAATAGTGACCTGCCTTCCTGTCCTCCACCAGAAAGGAGCACTTTCAGGGTAGTGGCTTGTTGTTCATCATTGTATCCAAGTACCTGACAGCATTCCTGACATATAATAGGAAGGCAGATCCCTTTAATGAATGGAGGTTATCTGGAGCAGAGGTTGCAAGTATATAAATGCCCAACCATTTTGCCCTCCAGCCCCAAAATAGTCTAACAAAACACCTCTTCCGGTAAGAAAGTTAAAATGGTTTTATTTCTCAAGATCCCTCTTTTTTTAAAAAACATAGTTTTATTAAACTATAAGTGATATGCAACAAACTATACGTGTTTAAAATATATACTTTGATATTTTGACATGTATACAGCTGTGACAACAATAATCTATTTTTAATTATCATATATGTAGGTGGCACTAGATGTAAAGGTAATACATACTCATTGTGAAAAATGTTTAAAATGGCCCTGGCCGGTTTGGCTCAGCAGTTAGAGCATCGGCCTGCGGTCCAGAGAGACCCGGGATCGGTTCCGCATACCTTGGTTGCAGTTTGTCCCTGGCCCTGGATGGGTCGTGCAGGTGGCACTCGATGTGTCCTTCAGGTCGATGTTTCTCTCTCTCTCTCTCCCACTCTATCTGAACAAAAAATGGAAAAATGTCCTCAGGTGAGGATTAAAAAAAAAATTATACCACAATAAAGCTGCTTTTTAAACATTGGATATAAGTATACAGATAGATAAATATTTAACCAGATTTTTTCTATGCATATTTTTTAATATAAAAATGGTGTCTAGTTCTTCTTCTTCTTCTTCTTCTTCTTCTTCTTCTTCTTCTTCTTCTTCTTCTTCTTCTCAGACATGAATGTTTTACCCTTAAACTCCAGATTTGCACAAAGATGTTACCTTCTCTCCTATACGACTTTGGTCATACTTTAAAAAAACAAAATGGTGTCCAATATGGATCATGGATATGTTTTCATGCCAGCACAAATAGATCTATCCAATCGTTTTTCCTTTATTTTTTCAATATTGATGTTAGGGAGAGGAAGACAGAGATAGAAACATGGATGAGAGAGAACATTGATTGGCTGCCTCCTGCATGCACCCCCGCAACTGGGGATCAACCCACAACCTGGGCATGTGCCCTGACCAGGAATGGGAATCAAACCAGTGACTTCCTGGTGCATGGATCAGTGCTCAACCACAGCAGCTTGCAGAATTTTTAAACCTTTAAAAGTGAAATTTGACCAGTAGCCATGTAAAGTATTCAATACACAATTTTTTCGTTCCACTCACCTTAAAAATAATTTAAGACATTCTCACTAACAGTTTAGTGAAAGGAGAACTATCTTCACAATTTGTCAGGTAACTAACCTTCACTGAAAATAATAAGGATATCGTTCAAAATTAAAAATTGAGCCCTGCCCAATAGTTCAGTTGGTTGGAGAGTCCCTGATGGGCCAAGGTTAAAGGTTGATCACCATCAGGCTACTTATAGAAATCAACCAATAAGTGCATGGGTGAGTGAAGCAAGAGATTGATCTCCCCCACCCCCCACCCCCCGCCACTTCCTCTCTCTCTGAAAATCAATTTTAAAAATTTTAATTAAAAATTGAATATGGCCCAGTGGTTGAGCATCAACCCATGCACCAAGAGGTTGCCAGTTCAATTCCCAGTTAGGGCACATGCCCAGGTTGTGGGCGAAATCCCCAGTGGGGGCATGCAGGAGACAGTCAATCGATGTTCTCTCTCATTGATGTTTCTATCTCTCCCTCTCCCTTCCTCTCTCTCTAAAATCAATAAAGAAAAAAAAAATCTTTTTTTTTAACTGAATATGTATGTATTGAGTGCTTACTACATGCCAGCACTGTGCTAAGTGCTTTACATGCATCAGCTTTACATGCATCATCTTATTTTAACCTTTTTTCAACCCTATGAGGTAAGTTCTAAAACAGCCCCTATAGCCCTGACCAATTTGGCTCAGCTGTAGAACATCAACCACGGACCAATGAGTTCCAGGTTCAATTCTAGCCAAGGGCACATACCTTAGTTGCAGTTCTGTCCCCAGCCCTGGTCGGGGTCATACAGGAGGCAACCGGTCAATGTGACTCTCTCATGTCAATGTTTCTCTCTCTCTTTCTACCTGAAGATAAATGGGAAAATATCCTTGGGTGAGGATTAAAAAATAAAAAATAAAACAGCCCCCATAAAAGCAAGGAAAACTGAGACAGAGTTCCTCAGAGATAGTAATGATAGATTTGAACTGGAATCCAGATGTTGGTAAACCAAACTCACTATCATTGAACAACTAAGAGAGTCTCTTTAGCTTTACTCAGTTTCTGTAATAGGTATCTCATAGGATGATTGCCATCCACTGTGATGTCTCCCCCTTAGCTCCCAAACATGAATATGTGTGAGTGTGTATATGTAGGTATATGTGTTTATATGTGAATATGTATGTGAGTGTGTGTATATGTGTGTATGTGTGGAAGTGTATGGGAGTGTGCATGTTTGTGTATGAGCATGTGTGAATGTATATGTATATGGGTATTTGAGGGTATATTTGTGTTTAGGCATGTATATATCTGAGTATATATGTGAGGGTATGTATATGTTTCTCCCTCTAGACTGAGAGCACTCTGAGGACAGGGATTGTATTTTGCTCATCCCTACATCTAGCCCAATATATTCCCCAATATATTCCTAATCCATAAATTTGTGTTGAATAATGAGTGAAAATGAAAGAGCTTTATACCTACTGAAAGCAAATTACGTGTCAATTCCTTTTCCTTCCTTATTTCTAATTTAGGCAGCAAATTTACTACTAAGTTCTTAAAATGCTGCTGTGTAGGTTACATGGAAGTAGCAAATTCCTTTGGTGCAAGGAATGTGGTGTAAATACATTTGTCTATCCTCCTGGAGTTTTATTTTTAGAAAGAAATGTTTTCAGGTATTTTTAAAGAGTAACCTGCCATCATGACAGTTATTCTCCTGAAATAGGATTGTATGTCATTCAGAAAATTCCAAAGCATAGTTTTGTTCATTTTACTTTAAAAGTAAACAAACCACCTGGTGAGCTATTTTTGTTTCAAAAATGGAATCTAAAAATATCTTCCCTTCTACTTCGTGTCCCTTTCTGCGTCATACGGAATTATTGCTCTCACACTCCCACCCTCTCCTCATCCCTAGCTGCTTCTGCTGAAATGAATCATAAACATTTGGCAGTGTAATGGCAAGTCTTAACATATTCAGATCTGGGGGAATTAAAAAATAAAAAGTGTACAGACATACTTTTTTCACAAGTGGCACTCACATTCTATTTTAAAATTTTAGATACCATAGCATCTTTTGAACATTAAGGATTTGAGTGGTCAATATTGAATTTATTTTTCAGACACTAGCTACAGCCTTCAGGCAGCCAATCCTTTGGGGTTAATAAAAGCCTTTGTGCTATTCTGTTGCCCATACTTTTATGTATTGCAGTTTTTCTTTGTTTTATAAGGCAAACTAGTTGGATGTGATCGTCTTAAGCACTGGCTTAAAATTATTTGTCCTGTCATTAACTTCATTAACTAGCTCTGTGGGCAAGACACTACTCTACACTTTGAGGCTTACACATGACTTTTTTAACAGAGCTGGCTTCAGGGAGATGAAACAATTCAGAATGACCCAGAAAATAGGATAACTGCTAAGGTATGATTTTGGTAATAAATTGCTTCTTCAATATGATCTCTAAGAGCCGTTGTAACTGTAAAATTCTGTTTTCATTATGCCCCTAATTTTATTTGCCTTATAAGTATACTGATAATTGTGACCATTTTTCTGACACAAGTGTGACTGAAGAGTAAATAAATGCAGTGAGGAATTTTAAAAAGAAGGGCTTGTCTGTCAGAATTCATTGAGAATCCTGTTTCTACCGAAAACTATTTTTGGACTAACCTTGGAAATGTACTTAGTAAGATAAAGCCTGACAACATGCCTTGGGAGTTGGGTGGGATGTTTTCAGAGTAATGTCAGTGGCTATCTTCCGATAGAAATTTTCAGGTTTTCCCTGTAAGGAAATAACAAGTTCTTACTATCATCTCACAATCTTCCTCCTTAACTCTTCTAATCTTTCAGAGCAGCAGGTTTTTAATGAAAATTTTATTACTGCACATTCCTGTTTCACAAAGCTGCCACAACAATTAGAGACCAAAATCTGT